AAACTAAAGGGGGGGTAGATTTAGACTAGATATAAGGGAGAAATTTTTTACGATGAGGGTAGTGAAACACTGGCACAGGTTGTCCAGAGAGGTGGTGGATGCCCCATCCCTGGAAACATCCAAGGTCAGGTTGGACGGGGCTCTGAGCAACCTGATTTAGTTGAAGATCAGTTGAACCCCCCACGGCAGGGGGGGTGGACTAGATGACCTTTAAAGGTCCCTTCCAACCCAAACTATTCTATGATTCATTTATCATTCGGGAATTCAGTATTAACTAAATTCAAATTCTTGTTGAAGGAGAAATATCACAGTTCTTAAGACAGTATCAGAAAAGTAAATTAAATTCTTTTTGTTAAAAACCACAACAGAATGTTGTTACCAGAGTTCTGTTACCAGAGCTGTCTTCTCCAAGAAAGGATAAATAAGGACTATTAGTTTGGTGTAGAACTGAATGTATAGAACAGGAAATCAATTTTTAGGAAAGAAATTCTTATCAAGTAAGTAAGATTTTGTTCTTCATAAGAGTAACATAAAGATTTACTTGCAAATATTTAGCAGTTTCACTGTTCTAGCAAATGTTTAGGTGAAATGTTTTTTCAGCACCATGAGCAAGAGATCACTGTAGGAGAGCATTCTATAACATGGGCTTTCTAAATAGTTACTAAGAAGTGAAACTAAATGCATTTTTACACATATTCATAGAAAAACATTGCCTAAAACATAACATGTATAACTATACTAAGCAGTACATTGCATCTTAACAAGGCATCTTAACTATAACTTCTGACAAAACACTCTTTGTAAGTACTACTTAAATGAGATTTTAAAGATATGAATATCTCAATATTCTATAAAATGTTAATACTGATAACATTCTGCAAGTGTACTTATACTACTGGACTTAATAAAACAGAATATGGAACAATGAACTGGCATAAACTTTGCTGAATACCTAATCTTTGAAGTCCAAATTGTCCATAATCTTTACCCTGGATGAATCCTTGAAAAACATATGTTGCTCCATCAGGTTCAGCAGAAACCTGTAAACAAAAAGTACTCTGAATTAAATGGGGAAAAGTTTGTTACAAGTATCTATTTGGAAGAGAGTTAACTTAATATGCTTGACTGGTAGCTGTTATTCCCCATTAAAAACAGCTTCTTTTCTCTAGGAAGTCTATAAAGTTCAAAAGAAAAGACAGAACTGTTAAAGGCACAACTTAGACATGATGGCTTATGGCCACATATACTACCTTATACTACCTTTAACTGTATTATTTTTTAAAACCAACAAAACTTAATGTTTCTGGCAATTTAACATGTCAGTATTTCTAAGTATTTTACATGCTTCATAATTATCTGATTTGTTTAGGAAGTAGATGGCAAAAGTTATATTGTAGATAATCCTAAGCATGCAAGTAATATAAGTATTACAAGTAATAAAATGCGAGGTTTTAATAATTACTTTAAAACCAAACAAAAAAGACCTTGTATTCAATTGACAGTTAGTTTCTTTGTTCTTACGCAGTGCTCATCCCAATAATTACTTAATTAAACATCTGTAGACCAGAAGAATATTGAATGAGGCTTTGGTACAAGAGCAAAATATGCTAGTATAAACTAAAAGACTTGTGAGAGGGAGGAAAGGGTTGTGATCCTATGAATATCTCCCTTATCAGGGTAAGTACGTTCTAAACTAACACACTGTATTCAAATTTACAGGTACTTGCTTCCCAGGATAGTTATTAGGTTTAAATTCAGCGGTCCCAAGGCAGGTTCCTTCAACATTTTCCCCTAAGCTTCCCTTTCTGAAGGCAACAGTACGTCTTCAGGAATGACCTGAAGCTATGTTTTCACGTAAGAAAGGGTGCATTTCTCAAGTGAATTTCTTACTTAGGGGTAAAGCAGCTTGTGTGAGCTATTCCAAGATTTAAAAAAAAAAAGGTCAAATAAGAACAGTATGTAAATAGCATATGGAAAGTAGGGACTGTACTGTGTACTTTTGTACATTTAGAAGTCTGAAAGTAAATTTCTTACTTTTACCATATTTTTTTCACCTCAGGAGCATGCTCATGAAGCCTGAAGTTTGTACAAACCAAGGAAGTTAAGCCCTTTTACCAGTATATTTATTGTTTAAGCGGTTTAGGTTTTTTTGCTTTGGTTTTGGTTTTGCACCTTTTTTTAAATTATTACTGAAGCAGTGCCATGAGCTATACAAATATAAATTTATGCGTACACTTCAATGTACACCTCTTCTCTTCTTTTGGCATGTGCACCCATATCAGTGTCCCTGTAGTGCTTTACCAGTAGGTGAAACATAAGAAAACAAACAGATCCCTTGAAAAATAAGATGGTGTAATAGGGATGTATGAGTGTTCATCATCATCTAAATTATTTTAGGCCCTTTCTTTTCTGAAAAATCTACTTTCTTCTCTGGCAAATAAATTGTTTCAGGCCCCCAACATGCTCAGCTTTTTCCACCCTTAGCACTATCTTGGGCAATATTTGTTTTTCCTGTATGTTGTCTGAAGGGATTTCCTTTTCATGGTTTGAACACATCCCAGCCACATGGGCTGTTGCTTCTTTTTCTTCCCCCTCTCCTTCACCTCTCCTCCTCTCAGTTATGTGCTCTCTTCTTCTCCCTTTTAAAGAATAAGCTCAGCCCCAGAACCTCCAAGGGGCTTAATGCTTAATTGGAGCAATCTATTTTGTTTTCCCCATACACATAACAGCCCAGCTTTTTCATGGTATTTCTAAAAATAATACCAAAAAGTAAAACATGACAGCTAGCCTAATGATAAAAATTGCTATTATATTAATATTATGTATTATAATATTATTATAAATTGATATTCTATTATCATGATAAAATTTCTCAATATATTGGAATAAAAATCAAAGACAAGTAAGAGAAAGGCTTCTGTGTTAACATGCATTATAATTGTGCCTGCACAGTATAACTAGTCCCATATTTTCTCCCAGACTGGTCTCCTATATCTTATAATAAAATTTTCATTTCATTTAATGAATCAGCATTGATAACAAGATTCCATTTGATATGTCTCAGGATTTTTTGGGTGTAGAACACCAGCATGATTTCAAACAAAAAAAATCTTTCTCTCTCTTTTGTAGCAGAAATATACTCACAAAACCATCCATAGCCCATTTTTCCTCTTTCAACTTGCTCACAGATGTATGGGAGGGTGCTTTAATGAGATATATGTGGAGCATTAACCGAGCTTCCTGGCTTTTATACACTCCTGTAGAATATAGTTTTAAAAATTTATATTTGTGTTGAGTAGAGAAATAATTTCATCTTTAAGAATAAGCATTTAATCTCTTGCCTTAAAAAGGGAAAGCAGGAAGAATAGGTAGCATTGTTATCAACATTTTATTTTAGCAAGACACATTCTTTTGTGAAATTATTTCAATTATCATAGGATTTCAATAGAAACTGCTTTTAGCTTAGCCTGTAGAGAGGACGGAAGGGAAACCCTATACACACAGATGTTACTTAACAGTTTTGATAACAAGCCTTAGACAGAATAAACATTGACAGTAATCTGATTTGAGATGGAAAATACTGTTCTGAATCAAGCAGAGTGTATTTGAACTTCACATCCCCACTCCCACTTTCAATATTTGTAATTTAGTCATCAGGTAAAAGAAGATGATATAGCAACATCGACATCTAAATGCTTTTCTAAAAGCTGGTGTTAAATTAAAAATTTCTAAATTTGAAAATATCTCAAAAAATGGAATTGTTCTTCATCAGTCAATATTACGACACAGGTTCTTCCAGACAATGACAAGACTTGTATATAACCTTATTTACTTTGTAGGCATAATTAATTGACTCATTTTCATTCCTGCAGAAGAAATATTTAGAACCCAAATAACCTTATTTGTTAATCTGGAGAATGAAAATAAAATAGTACGATATGTTTAGTGATTTAATATTCCCTTACAAAGACAATGGTGAATAGTGAAAATACAGTCAAGATTTTTCCCCACACACATTTTTAACCATTGTTATCAATTAATGGTTTAAAACTTCAGATTTTAAATAGAAGACCTCTCTAGTATGATCATTTCCTTTCTGGCAGGGCACTGAAATTACTGTTCATTTTACATGAAGTCTTCTGTTTGTAGAATCACGCAAGGTTATATTGCACTTTACATGAACAAAAGCTAATGATGGCTAAAACTTTCACAGAAACAAAACTAAAACCAAAACCAAGAAAAAGAAAATAAACCCCAAACAATTATACATCCACCTCCAGAAAATTCCACCAAACAGAAATTAAAATTCACTGATTTATTGACTCAATACATCACAGAAGAGACTTCATACTGTAAATGAATTAGAATTAAACAGTCTTTCACCCCCCTTTTTTTTTTTTTTTTTTTTTTTTTTTATCAAAATAATATAACAAAAATGTGGATGTTCAGATTAGATTTAGTTAGTATGTATTAGCTGCACATGAAATAAACTAGATCTCTTTTTATTAACTGAAAACTCCAGTAACATAGCAGTACCCTTAATTTTGGTCATTTCCCATTTTTATGTTCATCCAAATTCTGTGATGTGAACAAGAACTGAAGACAGCACTGAGACGTAGGAGAAGGTACTGGCTCTCTGTATTGGGTTTGCGTGGCAAGGTTTTGGTAGTGGGGGACTGCAGAGGTGGCTTCTGTGACAAAATGCTAAAAGCTTCCCCCATGTCTGACAGAGTCAATGTCAGCCAGCTCCAAGATGGACCTATCACTGACCAAGGCCATGCCAATCAGCGATGGTGGTAGCGCCTTTGTGATAACATATTCAAGAAGGGGAAAAAAAATGCAGCGCAACAGCAGCCAGAAGAGAGGAGTGAGAATATGTGAAAGAAACAACTCTGCAGACACCAAGGTCAGTGAAGAAGGAGGGGGAGGAGGTGCTCCACGTGCTGGAGCAGAGATTCTCCTGTAGCCCATGGTGAAGACCATGGTGAGGCAGGTTGTCCCCCTGCAGCCCATGGAGGTGAATGGTGGAGCAGATATCCACTTGCAGCCCGTAGAGGACCCCACACTGAAGCAGGTGGATGTCCAAAAGAGGCTGTGACCCCATGGGAAGCCTGTGCTGGAGCAGGCTCCTGGCAGGACCTGTGGCTGGAGCAGATTTGCTGGCAGGACTTGTGACCCTGTGGGGGACCCATGCTGGAACAGTCTGTTCCTGAAGGACTGCACCCTGTGGAAAGGACTCACACTGGAGCAATTCATGAAGAACAGCAGCCTGTGGGAAGGACTCACATTATAGAAGTTCATGAAGGACTGTCTCCCGTGGGTGGGACCCCACACTGGAGCAGGGGAAGAGAGTGAGGAGGAAGGAGCAGCAGAGACAACATGTGATGAACTGACTGCAACTCCCATTCCCCGTCCCCCTGTGCTGCTAGGAAGGGAGGAGGTAGAGAAATTGGGAGTGAAGTTGAGTCCAGGAAGAGGGGAGACATGGGGGGAAGTCGTTTTAAGATTTGGGTTTATTTCTCATTACCCTACTCTGATTTGATTGGCAATAAATTAAATTCATTTCCCCAAGTTGAGCCTGTTTTCCCTGTGATGGTAATTGGTGAGTGATCTCTCCCTGTCCTTATCTCGACCCACGAGCCTTTCGTCATATTTTTCTTCCCCTGTCCAGTCGAGGAAGGGGAGTGAAAGAGCAGCTTGGTGGGCAGCTGGCATCCAGCGAAGATCAACCCACTACACTCTCCAGTGGAAAAAATATAACTAAGGCTGCACAAAACCACTAGCTAACACAGTAGTGGAAGGAAGGAAATACCCAGGTGTTTAGTGCTCTTTGCATCTCAAGGTAGAGAAGGAAGAAATGCTGGCACAACCAAATAGCTTAATATTGGACTGCAGTGCTGCAAAAAGACAATCTGGGAGACAGCAGAGTTTTCAGACCAATAGAGTTTTGTATACATGGTCAGAAGGAAATGGTGGGTGATGTTATTGTGTTAAAATGAATTCCAGAGAAGAAAAAGCATGGTCACATCTGTCTTGCTGGCTGCTAATCTGAGAAAAACAAAAACTTATAAATTGGAAACAGATCACATGCCCAGATATATCCCAACTAAGAAAAGACATTTAACTTTGTCCTCTCCATTAGTTTATTCACTCTAGGCTCTAACTACAGACTATGGTGAGATGGGCATCTCAAAAGTTCAATTCAGGTTAAGATGCAAACTTCCTAGATCTCTTCAGAAGCTGCAGTAAGAGACAGGGCAATGAGATTCCTAATTCATGTGTCTCATTTACATGCCTAAATTCACAGAATAAAAGCCTTCTCCACATTAAGGATAGGTGATTGCCCTATAGGAGCTATCATTATATAGAAATCATCTCTGAGCTAACAAGCAGACTTACTTTCATGTTAACACTGCACTGAGCTCAAATGAAAGTGCCTTGAAAAGATAGGGTTTATTCTCTTGTCTTCAGGACTGCGTTAACATTATCACACAGTGTTTGGTCACTTCAAGAGCTTGGACAGTGTACATCTAGAAATCATGTGGAACTTGGGGAAAAAAAATCAATCACATCTGCCATGGATGTATGTTGTTAATGTACATTAGGAAATACTGCATGAGGCTGAGGGCTGTGGTGTGTGTACATGGGCATGAACATTATGTATGTACACTCGAAAAAGAGCATAGAGAAAAATTATTCCACAGACCAAGGCACCACTGTTCTCTGCTAGTTTACAATGGTGGATTCGCAAGCGTTTCTTGGTGAAAGGTCGATGTGCTTCTTCAGAGCTGACAACTGGTTACCCGGTCTACAAGAGAGTGTTTAATCTGAGCCAAATAAACAAGTAAAAGTTGTACCTTTTTCTTCTCTTAATCCCTATAATAGCATTGCTATTTTCACATATGCTAACCTTACCAAAAGAACATGCCCATTTCTAACTTGTGACAGACATATATACTATAATAACAGTAAGCACAGGTGTCAAAGTAAAAAGAAGTAAAAAAAGATGCAGCAAATGCAAAACAGTAAGTGCTGCACAGGGAGAGAACTACTTTTCATTTCAGAAACCTACAAGTTGAGTATAGGAGAAATCAGCTTCCTGGCATCTAAATGTCTTTTTTGATCCATCTGTACTTCCCTGGCCCTAAGATACTCTTTCAATATACAGGATCTCAGTTTTCTATCTGCAAAATAGGGAGAGAAAATAATACTAATTACCTGATGACGTGTGCAATGCCTGTATGTAGAGTGAAAATGGGCATTTGTAATCACTTTTGTGTCCAATTGAGGGAATATTTTTTATTTGGAGGAGGAGGTTGTTTGGGTGAGAAGACACAGCTTTTACTTTTACTAATCCTAAAAATATGAAATACTACATCTGCTGCACCTAATGCCCTCATAGAAATTACATGGCTGAAACTAAACAGACATCATATGATAGAATAAATTCACACAGTCAAAACAAACATGGTTACCAGTCAGAAAATATTTTATTAAACATTCAGTCCATCTATGGCCTCTTAAGTGTGACTCTTCAAAGGACACCTACAAAATACCTTCAACAGACAAACCTAGTGACAAAAATTCACCACTCTACTAGATCCTAGAAACTAAGAACTCGACAGAGACATGGATTCTTTGGCCCATTTCATGCTTCCTGTAGACCACCCCTCTCAGAAACATATGGGCTGAACTTTCTCCCATCCTTTTTTCCAACAGGTTAATATTCTGTCACTTCTGTCCTTGCTAACACCTCTGAGATAAAGAGCGTTGTTAAACTACTTCAGAGAAAGGGGTCCTTAAGTGATGAACAAGATTAAAACCAGCAGTGTCCAGCCTATACCTAACTGCAATTTTTAGTCTGCTTCAGTCCTTGCAAAAAGTGTTGTAGACAAAGGGTGAAGTTTCAAGAAACTAAGTTTTGAGTGATAATATTGATTTCAGGTGTTTCTTTTACGCTTATTCACACCCCTGTGCTATAGCCTGCCACTCCTATGGTGTGACAAGCCCATTGTCTGTGTGGCTGAGATGTCTCAATCAAGGGACTGACAAAGTTTGAAAACCAAACAAAAACTATAAAACCAAACATTTTTTACAGGGGTTTTTTTTCCTTGCTTGTCAAGCCATATTTGTAGTTTCTGCTGATGGTTCACAGTATAGAGAACTGTGCATATTGTGCCAACATAACCATGGCAACAGTGCTCTGTGTGGCAGGGACTGTGGAATACCGTAAACCAAGACTGTAATCAAGGGCTTCTTCTGAAACCACAGCATGAAGGGTAGCTACTTTTTTCAACCGAATCAGCTAGTCTAACAAGTGTCATCTCTCCTTGCTCTCCATGTTCATTATCTCTGCCTTGCTAGGTCAACACATAGCAATCTCATCATATTGCTTATTCGTTATTAATAGGCTATTGTAGGGAAATTGTATGATTAAGAATAAAGAAAATCTCAGGAGCAGTAATTTAAGTTTATTTATAATATTTAAGGAATAAGCATGAGAATTAACATGATTCTTTCACTACTCATTGACTATTAACTTAAAATATAATAAAAACCTAGGAAATTAAAAAAAGGGAGAGAAAGAAAAGGTGGAAAAATCCTTACCTTTGAAAAGGAACTGAACTAGAATGAAAATTTCTTTGATAAGCTAAGAAATTTTCCAGAAGATGTTAAAAGTTTGTTATGCATAAAGTTACAGGGAACCAATGTATATAAGGAAGAAAAAATTACATGGAAATGAGTTTTTCTTATCCCATACCTGATAGCAGCAATTCCATATTGCTGTTTGTAAGTGTTGCATTTACTCTTCCTGAAGTTGCATTGAAACTGGTGACTGTCAAAGTCATGGGCTGTTTCTTGCTTTTGTAATTGTAAGATCCTTTCCATATATAATTTTGGGCAAATACATCATCAGGAACTATACAGACATCAAATATATTTCAATACATTTTGCAATATTTAGTACTTATGAAGTCAAGCATCCAACAAAATATATGATAAATATTAGCATTTTCTCTACTTTACCCTCTCTATTTTTAAGTCTATTAGGCATAATCTTCAAATATAAAGCATAGAAACCTGGTATGAACATTTAGGAAAAAAATGTATTTGTACTGAAGAACACAACCACAACTGTACCTTCATTTGCTCCTTTCCTCAAATATGGACATGTTCTAAAATTAAACCAACTTCACAAAATCTAATTTAACAGCTGTAACCAAAAGACCAGATTCCTCTCACTGCAGAATCTTTTCTATGCCAGCACAGAGAGGCAGGGACATACAGCTAGGATTAAATTTTGCAGAAATTAATATTGATTTAGATATCAAAAATTTTTTAAGCATATTTAAATGGCATTAAAAGATTATAAGCATCTTCTTTATTACCTAGGCACTTTTTCTAATGAAAAAATTATATAAGAAGTTTGTCTTGTCTTCAAATGCTTAAAAACATTATGAGCTTCACCAGGAGAAAAAAAAAATCCCCTAATTTAAAATTAAATTTAAAATCATAAACCTCAGGGAATATAAATATGCTAGATTTATACCTTTACATTTAATATTTATCATTATCCAACTGTGAAATGATTAATTTAAGTAATGCTATTCCAGAACAGTATGGGTTTTTTTAAAAAAAAAAAAAAGTTACCTATCCAGTAAAAACAGATACATGCAAATCTTTAAAATCTTAACATGAGATACCATTTAAACAGTTAAATTGAAGGTGACTTAGGATGGGTTTATTACATTTTCCAAAGGAAATGTATCAAACTTATCCCTATAACAAATAATCTTAATTTATAATCAGCACTTTTACATTATTTGTAGTCACTAGCACTGAACTTAAAACTCTGGGTTCGTGTGTGCATTGGCATCTCACGTCAGATAAACACAGAAGAATACTTGTCCCTTTCTCTCTTAGGATATCCCAAAATTCAAGACTGGGGCACACTGGAATACCCAACAGTCTTCCTTCATCATTTATTTTACAGGTCACAGAGACAGGTTGTTTTCCCCATGGAGGTAAAAGAGCTTTCCTAGTTTTTTATTTGTGTATGTATATGTATATACATATATATTTTTTGACAAGTAAACACATCAAAACAAAACACCTAGATACTGGGCCTGCAAACTGCAAGCAAGGAAACTGCATGGTGCAAACAGTCTGATGCTGTTGATTTGTTATCTGCCTGAAATTTATTTCCCTACTTTCAGGAAAACTGATCTTTATGTACTTTATTTGCAATTAATTGGGATTGTACAAAAAGTTTCTGAATGAAAAAAATTATAATATGACTACCATGCAGCACATCGTTGACAAACACAGTTTTGAAGCAGTGTACAACCTGTTAAAAAAAAAAAAAAAAAAAAACCCAACAACCCTATGCTAAGGAATTACTTTTAAATCGTTATTCATTATTGGTAGAAATTTAATAGGGTTATAGTCAAAGGCTAATTTTAGTTAAGGAGACTTCTCTCTTCAAAAAGTCTCTTCAGGGGACAGAGAAAGGTTTCTCTTGGATCTAGTCCAGATATCCAAAGACAGTCTTTAGCAAATCAGTTAAAACTGGAGTTGACTTTAGCCAGAGTTAGAGAGACTACCTTCTCTAGGCTAAAATTAGCTTTTTTGAAAGCGAAGTTGAAGGCTAATACTGAAGTATTTAGGTAAAGCAATTTAAATTAGCAATATGTAAAAGAAGTGCAAGACTGTGAAACAAACTGTGAAACAACATGTCTTTAAATTATTTCTGGGTGAGTAATATAGTTTCTGAATGGGGTAAATTGCATAGAATCTTACACAGAACACAGTGATTTCAGTGAAATCAATAAAATTCTCATCACATAACAGTTACAAATTGTATATGGATATAAATAATACCATATAGTCTAGACAGACTTAAACATTGGAGAATAATTAATGATGTTTTTGTTCTGTTAACGTAATGCCCTTTATTCATTCTAAGCCATTCAGTGCAGTTTCACTAAATCGATTCTCGTTGTCTTTTCTACAGAAATTGTTTAAAACTATATATACCTCAAAGTACTTACCGCTTAGTTTGGGACTTGGTGTTCCCAAAGCTGGTCTGGGGTCCTTCACTAAAATTTTGGAACCAGCTGTTAGAAAGAATGAATGACAAAAAGACAAATCAGTAGCAAATATGTTACTCAGAAACTAGGAAAATAATTACCATAACGGAATTTATTTGTTGCAAAGGATGTAAGATGATGTTTCAAACTTAAACGTGAATGAGATTTCAGTCAGTACCAGGCTTTAGTATCACAGGAGCACATGCCCACTGATTTCTTCCGTTGCCACATTTTTCTCCTTAGTCACCTGGATGCTACCAAGTCATTTGCAATACCCAAACAGTGTAGGCTTTCACTTCAGAATCCACATTTTAGAATTCACAGTCCTGGAGTATGCACCTAACATGTGAGTTGTCTTCTAATATGTCATCTAAGGCAAGTTATGTCATTTAAATCAGGATCCACACAAAATAGCACTGTGAATAGTGCTTTGACTGGAAGCAATATAACACTACAGATATATAACAAGGGCGTTTTAAATTATGTTGCTCTCCAGGACTTAATTATCTTCAATAGTACTGAGTGAGACATCTTGTGTTCCAGACTGAAAACCCAAAGATGCATGCTTAATTTCTTAACAATGGAGGAGAAGGTCACTGTTTCTTTAAAGAATAGCAACAGAAAGAAAGAAACAAATGAGGCTGTCCACAGTATCTCCAGCTGCTCAGGTGATTTGAGCACTGAAGTTGGCGAATCTCATTTCTTCTCTGCTTAGAGCAGGAACTCTCCCACAACTGAAGACGATGAACTAAATGCAATGGGACAGTGTGATTTCCTGGAGCTGAAGCTATTTTATTTTGCAGAAACTAATTTGGATTCACTGGGCTATAAAGAAGACACATAATTCTGTCTCCTAATGTAGAATACTCTCATGCAGCACTAGGCTCCATTCCTTGCTCCAATGGTTATTTCAATATTTTGTATTTTGGATCTTGGCTTTGAACCTAGGCCTTTTCTCTCTGATCAATATTCTAAAAAAAATAGACAAGAAAAGCAACTTCCTTCTCCCTGAGTGGAGTGTTTTTCTGCATAAAAAGGAAACTTTAGCAAGAAGAACTGAGAATATTTTTCTTGAGAATAACTTTTAGCTTATTACAGAAGGCTTGCTCTTGGTATATAGATTAAAACTGGCAAGAAACAAGGGCAGGGGTTGGAATTCAACCTAAAGTTCTCAGATTACTACTGATTGATTAATCTCTTTACTCTCTGTTTTGAAAGAAACTTACTGAACTTCACTGAACATGGTTGACCTGGAGGGCATGCTTCAACAGCATATGCTTTTTGACTATATCAAGCTCAGGTTAGAAATATCTGGATCATACTTTCGAAAGGGTTTTAGTATAAAAAGCTGCTGAGTCAATCAGCCTTGTCAAGGTGGATACATTTCTAGTCAAGTTCAGAACTGAAATTTTAAATACAAAGTAAAATGTAAATAAAATTTTAAATACAAACCCAAACATTTAAAAAAGTTATCTATGGAGTTTAAGTTTCTAGGTCCAGATATTTGCTCAGCAGGACTTTCAAGATTGCAGTTTTGTATTTAAAGGACCAAATTCTGGTTTAATTCCTCTACAGGTCCTTTTAGAGCTCTCAACTCCAGATGTTTTATTCCTTTCCATTCATTTCCAAGTTATTTCTGTGAAGTTCACAAGCACAGGTGAACAACCTGACCTGGTGCTCTTCTCCCTTCCATAGGAGAGAGACGTTTCAGCCCTTTGTAATAGGTAAAATTGAAAATATTTAAGAGACATTTTACTCTATCTAATTAGAGTTAATACTTTACAATATGTTGCTCATTCTTAGCTTTCTCTACTACTAAACAGCAAGAAGCAAGACCTCTTATCCTAAAAAACTTTTTGTTTCTGTAACATTTCCTCAAGACTTTGGGAAACTAAGTTATATGACAAGGTAGATACACTCATAGTTACTACTTAATACTTTTTAAAACAATTCTCATAAAGGTTCCTTATGATCAGATAGGACAGCTAATACTACTTCTTTCAATATCAACAGCAGAAAATTCTTGTATCAAAATACAACCCATGAATCACATTTGGCCTGCCATAACATTTCCTGAGTACTGAACAAGTCATAATCTTCCTGGCAGCTTGCTTTCTAACACTTTCCCAAAGCTCTCCTCTGTTTTCCCCCAGCACTTGCCTGGCATGTAATGCCAGGACACCTGTTTTTTAGTAATACAAAATATTAATTTCCTATTTCCCTTCCAAATAGTAGTGTTTGGCTATATAGCCTTTGAATGCCTCTGTAAGAGCCCTGGGGATAACCGCATCTGAAATATTAGGTATCACTAATCTGAAAGGTGCTTTAATTATTCAGGAAATAGAATTCCAAACAGTTGCTATATTTGAGGATATTTATTATCTCACATGAAAAAAACCATTTTCACCATGATTTTGCAATGAGGTTTTTCATGCCCTGTCATGACAAAGTATGTAGCAAAAATTAGAAAGAAAATAAAATGTTGGAACATCAAGGACAAAGTAGATACATTTTGTTTTCAAGTAGTATATTGTTGCTTATGTACAAATATAAAATAATATTAAACCCTATGGATTAATTCAATGCAGTGATTCAGACATCTACTTGGACTTTAGGCGTCCTTCTCCAATATTAGAATAGAATCATAGAATCATTTAGGTTGGAAAAGACATTAAGACCATCAAGTCCAACCATTAACCTAACACTGCCAAGTCCACCACCAGACCATGTCCCTAAGCACCACATCTACACGTCTTTTAAATACTTCCAGGGATGGTGACTCAACCAATTCCCTGGGCAGCCTGTTCCAATGCTTGACAGCCGTTTTGGTGAAGAAATTTTTCCTAATATCTACTCTAAACCTCCCCCAGTGCAACTTAAGGCCATTTCCTCTTGTCCTATTGCTTGTTACTTGGGAGAAGAGATCGACACCCACCTCGCTACAACCTCCTTTCAGGTAGTTGTAAAGAGCGATGAGGTCTCCCCTCAGCCTCCTTTTCTCCAGGCTAAACAACCCCAGTTCCCTCAGCCGCTCCTCATCAGACTTGTGCTCCAGACCCTTCACCAGCCTCGTTGCCCTTCTCTGGACACGCTCCAGCACCTCAACGTCCTTCTTGTAGTGAGGGGCCCAAAACGGAACACAGTATTCAAGGTACAACCTCACCAGTGCTGAGTACGAAGGGACGATCACTTCCCTACTCCTGCTGGCCATACTAGTTCTGATACAAGCCAGGATGCTATTGGCCTTCTTGGCCACCTGGGCACACTGCCGGCTCATGTTCAGCCAGCTGTCGACCAACACCCCCAGGTTCTTTTCCACCGGGTAGCTTTCCAGCCACTCTTCCCCAAGCCTGAAACATTGCATGGGTTTGTTGTGACGCAAGTCCAGGACCCAGCACTTAGCCTTGTTGAGTCTCATACAATTGGCCTTGACCCATCAATTCAGCCTGTCCAGGTCCCTCTGTAGAGCCTTCCTACCCTCAAGCACATCAGCACTCCTGCCCAACTTGGTGTCGTCTGCAAACTTACCGAGGGTGCACTCGATGCCCTCGTCCAGATCATTGATAAAGATATTAAACAGAACTGGCCCCAATACTGAGCCCTGGGCAACACCACTTGTGACTAGGTGCCAACTAGATTTAACTCCATTCACCACAACTCTTTGCGCCCAGCCATCCAGCCAGTTTTTTACCCAGCAAAGAGTGCACCCACCAAAGCCGTGACCAGCTAGTTTCTCCAGGAGAATGCTGTGGGAAATTGTGTCAAAGGCTTAACCAAAGTCTACATAGACAACATCTACTAAGCAGGTCACCTTGTCATAGAAGGAAATCAGGTTAGTCAAGCAGGACCTGCCTTTCATAAACCCATGCTGACTGGGCCTGATCACCTGGTTGTCGTGTACCTGCTGCATGATGGCACTCAAGATGATCTGCTCCATAACCTCCCCTGGCACCAAGGTCAGGCTGACAGGCCCGTAGTTCCCCGGATCCTCCTTCCGGCCCTTCTTGTAGATGGGCGTCACATTTGCTAACTTCCAGTCAACTGGGACCTCCCTGGTTAGCCAGGACTGCTGATAAAGGATTGAAAGTGGCTTCATGAGCACTTCCACCAGCTCCCTCAGTACCCTCGGGTGGATCCCATCCGGCCCCGTAGACTTGTGTATGTCTAAGTGTTGTAGCGGGTCACTAACCATTTCCCCTTGGATTATGGGGGTTTTATTCTGCTCCCCATCTTCCAGCTCAGGGGGCTGGGTACCTGGAGTACAATTGGTCTTACTATTAAGGACTGAGGCAAAGAAGGCATTAAGTACCTCAGCCTTTTCCTCATCCTCTTTCACCTATGTTTCCACCCGCATCCAATAAAGGATGGAGATTCTCCTTAGCCCTCCTTTTGTTGCTAATGTATTTAGAGAAACATTTTTTATTGTCTTT